AGAATTTTGTTGTAAAAGCTCAGAATAATTTCATCTGTTTACGTTTGAGCATTGAATGCTTCGGTTTTGAGTTATTAAATAGTAGTCCAGTCAACATGCTTTAAAAAAGGATGAAAATTAAAAGTCCATTGAACATTAACCGATTTTGTTCATTGAGGTGTTTTTGGTGACGGCAGATATTAGTATGAATTTGTAACCATATGGCACATGTGATTGTTTGTTTATAAACAGATAGCTTTTTTTAAATTCAATATTAAAAAGTTATGATACTTTCTTAATGCTGAGTTAGTTTATATATTCGGTATAAATGTAGTTTCCAAATGGAAACAAAACTTAAGAAAGTTCATTTGTTAATGAGCTACGATCAATCGTTTTAAAAAACAGTGATACATTTGATATAAACAATTCAATATCGCGAGAACCATTAGTCGTAGAAAGTTGCGACTGGTCCTATTGTTTTTCTCGCAAAAAGCTCTAACAAGTTTTGGTATCTGTCCGGACATTCTATTGATTTTGATATTGACCTCGTACCTACAGCAATTTTTTACCTATTGTAAAATACTACTAGATAAAAATGCTTTTTGGAGTTATTCACGAACTTAAAACAGATAGCTCTCTATTTGAAAATCGTCAGAGCAAAATAACGATTGCCACAAATGTATATGATTGTAACTGCAGCATTTTTCGATTATGTATCTGGTGTAAATCAAAATTGCATAAATTCGTAGCTGAAAAATGAAAACGTCTAGATACAAGATGTAAAATACTCTATTCTAGATCAAGAGTAACTGCTCATTACACGCGCAATGTCACGCCCACTTTTTGCCTTCTCTCTTTCGTTCGCGTAATTTACTTTTATGTCAGGCAGATGGTATGATAATTTACGATTATTTAGTATGTAAAGTGACGATGTAAAATTGTGAGCATTAGAGATTTCATTTGAAATCGCACATTCGCCTACATTTATGTTTATTTATAATGAGCAATTATCGACCGTAGAAATAATTTTCTTTTTTCTATTAAGTTTTGTTACGTCGTGTTTTGTTTATCTTTGTTTCATTTCGCTATCAGGTGACACTGAGTCATTGACCTAAAATGCGAGAAATATTTAAAGGTTTGAAAGGGAAAGGTAAAAATGAAATCAATTGTAGCAAGAAGTTTGAATTTTAATGGTAGTGTTCGTCTTGACGGCTCAAGTTGATCCAATTGCGACTGAACTTGGCAGACATGTAAAGATGGTTGTCGAAAAGGTTATAGGCTACTTTTTGATTATGTCAATGAATTATAACCAAGGTTTGAGGTGCTCATTGTACATGTATCTGAAGTAGCTTTTTCTCTTGGTTAAACCCTAGTTTCTGACTTCTTCTTGTGTATTTTCTCTTGCTGATCTCTTGTGAGTCTCAAAAAAGTCTATGTGTAGAACACGTAGCGCCTCCGCCACAAGTAGATCCGCCGTGGCTTCTTCTGCTAACGTGTCGGCTCTTTCATTCCCCCGAACATTCTTGTGAGATGATAACCAGTAGAATTATATAAAGTTACGTCCCTGGGCATCATTATAGGATCTTCACTCGTTATACCTCTCTTTGATTTCCAATACATACGGGTTAATATTAATATTAATTTTAGTACTGGCTAGGCTTTGGAAGGCGCTTAGAGAGTCTGAGTACACATAAAAGCTGTTGTGATTGTTCTTCAGTGCTAGCTCAAAGGCGTCTTCAAGGGCGATGCATTCTGCCGTAAACACAGATGCGTGTTGACAAATTGATTTTTTTTTCAATGAAGTTGAGTTCTGGACAGAAGCATTCTGCTCCCACATAAGGTTGACCGTTACTTTGCTACCATACGTGTCAATCGAGAGTACATCGCTCCGAGAAATCCACTCCCAGTTCATCTACTTGATTTAGATTTGGTGTATTTTGCTAGCCAGAGAGTTGCTCGGTTGAGAGAATGCTTTGATTAAGAACGTACTACATAAGGGCTTCGTTCTCTCTAAAAGTATGAGCTTGGATTCCGCAAGTAAAATATTTTTTGGAGTACTAATTCTGTACTCCATCGCCTGTCTCATTGCTTGGAATTGAATTTTCTCTAGTTTTCTAGTGTGAGTTGGGAAATAGACAGAGTCGATTAGGGAACGGACATAGCTCTTGTACATAGTCAGTAATATTTCTGGGTCAGCCTCCCATCAAGTACAATACAAAAAATTGATAATATTAAAAGCTCTATTGCATTCTTTTGCGGAGTCAAATTGGACTCCGACAAATCTGGCATGGGAGCGTAACCTGATAACATGATTGTCTGTTTTATCGCTCATTGTGCCTGGATTTATTCCCTTTTTATTCAAATATACCACTTGTCTTTTTCAGGAGCTAACTCTAATCTTATATAATATAGATTTTGTTACAAGAATGTAACAGCAGGCTAAGGATGCCCCTGTGATACACTCTTATTAATAACTCTGTATGTTTGCTGATTTTCTGAACTAGTTGCTAACCTCTCTTGTGTTATATGTTTAACAAATTTTATCATTCTTTTTGATACTCCTACTAAAGCTAGTTTAGTTAATAATATTTCAGTTTGTTCAATAATATAACAGTTTGTTATAAAATAATGTATATAAAATAATATTTTTAACTTTTTTATTATATTATATTATATTGTAAAATATTTGTATGTCGCCATCTAATAACTATTAGACTAACGACAATTTTATAAATTGTTGACGTTGCTTGACGATTAGAATGTTTATAGCAACGAGGGGAGAGTTTGTGTTTTGACTGAGACTTGAGTTGACCGGACGTCTTCTCTCTGATTAATTAATAGCTGTCATTCTTTAATTAACATTTTCTTTATTTAATTAATTTTCTGAAGTTATTATTTGGACTTATTTTACAATATATAATATAATATTTTCACTTCTAAATTTCGAAACGTAAACTTGTCCTTTTTGTACTTACATGTAGTGAAAAAATTCTCTCCGAGCATTTTTATCAAGTTCTTATTTTCTTAAAATGTCTCATAAATGAAAGAGATTTCATTCAGCAAGGAAAAAGTATTTAGTTTTACTGGAAAAGCTGTAATTATGTGAAATAAAAACAAACTTTGTAATATTAAAATCTACTAATTTTTTATTGTAAATGTCGACAAATACAATATGATTGAAATACTATATATTGCTCGATTAAATAAAACTGACATATTCAACATTATTTCGTTCGCAATGCAATTCTGAACATAAAAAAATGAACAAATGAGGACTAAGAAAGCTAAGAATCAAACGCTTATGAACATACATTTGCACGGAGAGAATTGTTGCACTAATACGGAGTGCAAAAAGTGATACGTCCATTTAAAGTTAAAAATTCATTCATAAAAATGGTGTAATACTCGATTCATTTTATCAACATGTGTTGGTATTGCATAATGGCACTTGACACACGATCAGCTTTCCATTTAGGCAATGGAGCAGTCTTACTACTAAAAAGACTAATATTGACAATGATTGAAAGTAATATTCCTGATAATATTCAACCAGCTTAAATAGTGAGTTTTACTGATTAAATACATGTTATATACTTTTAACGAACAGTACGAAGTTCCCTCCCATGTTCTATGCAGCAGAATTACTAGAGTAGCTGATGAATCAGTAAAAATAATCTCTTATGATAAAGAATCGACCGACTATTTTTCTCCGTGCAAAAATAATGATAAAGAAAGGATACGTAGGCTTAACTTGGAAAAATTCAAGCATAATGTCGACTTGAAGTTGTATGTTATGATAACAACGTCTGATCGACAAAAAGAAAAGGAACTCGAAAAAGAACAAATAAAGAAGTAGAGAGAGAGAGAATATGCACAAGAAAAAAAACCCTCATAGAAAAATTATCTCGGGCCTCTGAACTTTTCCCCTCTAGTTCTCTTGCTTTTTATTATAAATACTAACTAAAACTTTTATAACTTAACCCTAAAAATTTATTTATTGACTTAAAGCCGATATACAATTATTCCAGCGCGTGGGCATACGGAATCGAGTCCTTCCAACATGTTACACTGTTGTCGAAGCAGACAGTGACACAAATATTGAACGTGAACATCACAAAGTGAAAAAGATGGGAAGCGGTGGTCCTGAGAGTAATAAAGACATTATATTAACAAAAAGGAATAAAATTATTTACAAAGTTTCTTTGCTTTTATCTTCCATTTGTTTTCTCATCAATGGTGAAAAATAATCCAATTTCAAGGAATCCGAAGTGATGAAGTAATACTATATAATTATCAAATCCTTCAATGTAGATTACTTATCTATTAATGACTGTTTTATACTCATAATTTTTTCTTTTGCTAAAATTAAGTTACAAACTATGTGAAATGTCTGGAAGCATATTCCTTTTATTTGTAACAATTAAATTTGTAGTAAAGGAATAGAAATCGAGTATTGCGATAGAATTTAAATTATGTCTTTTTATTCTCGATACTTACGTATATATTATTTCTTAATTAACTCAATTACATAGCAATTAATTTTGGAATTGGGTTATTCACGTACAAAGTTGCGGTAATCTGCTAGTATTTTATAAAAAATCTTTGTTCGCAAAAACTAAGACTCCAAGCATCTTATTATATGATGCAACAGAATCAATCAATTTGTTTTTTCCATCTTATAATTCACCATTGTTTTTTTGTTTTCGCTGCTGTAGAGAATACTTCCGAATATTTTGTTTCTTAAAAAAGATTTTATTGTTCAAACGTTCCATGAACTTGAAATAAATTTTTACAAGCACCCATGTATCTTTGAATTCCCATTTTCAATTTGTAATGCTTAACATGGAACATATCTGATTCTTATCTCACATAGAGTCTGTATATAAAAATGATATCTACTTATTTACATTACATTTCAAATACGATATAAGAAGAGTGTACTGTTGTTGATAGTCTTCGATAACCTTAATGCACTCATATTTTGCATTTTTATCACGAATCAGTCTTCTTTTGTCCAAGCTTGCGTGTGCACAAGACACTTAATGAACACGATCATGGCAAGGTAAGAATTCATTTTTTAATCGGGTGAATAAATTGGCGTTGATCTTTGTGTTAAAAAAGTATATATTTCATGATATCAGGACTTTAAGTCTAAATTATATTCTTCATTGTGAAGATGGGTACGACTGTAACTCGCAAGTCAAAAAAAGATAATTGTTACTTCTATGTTACGTAACAGTGAAATGACACTACTAGTGTATGTTTAGACGAAGTATTAAAGTTTTTTGATAAAACGTCACAATAGTGACTCATTTATTATGTCTTCGTTACCTAACTATGCCATTTCGAACAAAACATTACAACAGTGATTCTTATCTTAAGTTTTTGTGACGCATCAATATTTCGATTTATAAAAAATTAAAACCTATTTGTACAAACATGATCTAACAATAATATGATATTGACGTAATAACATCTTACTCATGACATGTTGCTATTATGTCTGTACTCTTTGGGAAAAATTCCATGAATTAATGTTTAACATCTACACGACTTAAATATTTTTGGAAATTATATTAATATTACGTAAGCCCTGTAAAAACTTAATGTTACCACGATATAATACAGAAGTAACGAAATGTAACACGTGATATAAAAAATAATGACATGGATGTAATATCATCACAATGATCCATGAAAGTAACAATATCACATCACAGCCGTTATCTCGGTGTAACATAGCATGCATGCATTACGTTACATATATACTCAAGGATGAGATGATTACTCATCCTGTTATCCTGTGTGCAAGCAGTCGTAGGTTCGAATCTCTTTGTAGGAGGAAAGCTTGTTTACAATAAATCATTAAATTTAACTTAAAAAGTACAGGAATGTATTAAAACAAGTACAATTAATAAATTGCTAAGAAGAAAATAGTAATATCTATATTACTCTAATGGTACATTACTGCCTTATGAGTATGTCACATTACGCTTATATTACAACGATATAACAGTGTTTATTAAAAATGTTATGATATTTTTATTTACAAGGAACAACTAAGTTATATTTTTCTAAAACGTAACAAGAACATAATGTTACGTCATATTGCTACGTTTATAAGTGCAAAATTGTCAGTTACATGTGAGTTACACATACTTTTAGTTCTGTCACGGTTACAGAAAATCTACAGAACTGTGTTCAGTAAGAAAATATATTTTTATCCTTGAATAATAAGAATGATACTACATCTGTCTATGGCAAATAGAGAGACCTATGTCGTTCTCAAACATTATTATTTGACGCAATGAGAATACGTTTGGATTGAGACATAATAGTCGAAAAAAGTATCATCATATCACATGACATATTAGTATTGGATGATTTTAAATAAGAAATGAGTTTTTATTCTATTTCAACATAATTTCCATATAGATGATTTATTTATTTGTATGAATATTTTTACATTTTTTTCGGCAATGCCGCTGTAAATAGATATCGTGATTTTTTTATTAGAAAAAAACATTATCATTAATATAATTCAATAATCAAAGATTAAATGGCTATATAATGTACATTAATAAATTTTAGAAAGTATGCCATATTTGATTCCTAACAAAATGTTACGTCAAGTGCGAATATTCCAAGTAATCTTATGTTTCTTATGATTCCAGCGAGAAAGGTGGCTTAAAGCGTAAAACCCTGAAAGAGTCAAAATTAGACGAGAAACAGGAAGAACCCGCATCGAAAAAACCATGTAACATATCGATTGATGAAGATGGTAGCCAATCGAAGCTTCGAAAATTAACTTCACAGGGGATTTCCAACTATAGCAGATTTAGACCACCGTCGCCTTTTTCTATACGAAGTTCACCGCCAACACCAACTATTGCTCCTTCCCCGAATAGAAATTTAACTAGATCTACTTGTTTCTCAAATAATGATATGAGTCCTTTAATATTTTTAGATATTCATCATCAATATGAAAGAATGCTTCAGCAAGTTCCCAGTAGCAAAATGCTGACTGTAGAGAAATTGAGAAACCTTCTACCTTTTTCTAACTTTTTTGAGGGGGCGATTCCTATTATCAAAATTAGTAGAGAATGTAACGGTCAAAAATTGAAATCACCAACACTAATTCCTTCAAGAAGTTCACATGGACCTATGACTTTTGTTCCTTCCCAAAATATAAATTCAACGGAATTGTCTGACGATCTAAACCCTTTAGTATTTTTAGAAATACATAATCAATACGAAAAAATGCTCCAACTCGTTCCCGGCAGAAAAATATTGACTGCGGAGAGATTAAGAGATATTATACCTTTTACCGATTACTTTGACAACATAATGCTAATTATTAAATGTAGTAGAGAGCATAACTATGAGTACACAAGTTGCCAGTAGTGTATTCATTTCTTTACAAAAATTAATAAACTAACTAATAATAATGAATATAGCCCTATGATCGTTAGTCCAGTCATTTGAGATTTTATCCGCGGAAATTTTGAAGAGGATAAAATTTTAATACAATATTTGTAGGGGATGTAAAATCAGTTGTCCCTAAAAAAAGTGCTCTCCGATACCGGGCAAACGTTGAAATTACTCTCAAAAGGCTTTGGCAAACGTCACAAAGTCAGCATTTTTAAAACATGGAAGAAAATTAAGTGACCGCCAGAATTGTATAGAGTAATTACCTTATGGGACATGAAAAAAAATCGCAGCATGAAGTAACATCGATCGATTTAGTTTTTAATGCTAAGTCGAGTAATAATATTCATTAAAAAATATTTTATTTTATTTTGGTCGGCTATTCTTTTCTATATTTTCAATACATAAACATAACTCTCCTTGTCTATCTTATAGGTTTTGTTTATGCTCTGTTCCATTTAGGTACGTTTATTGTGATAAAAAACTCGCAATAAGTGTGTCAAGCGCCGACATATTGCTCTGTCTCTCTCACAGCCAGGGGTGTTCAATATTTTCACTGGTTTTAACTTTACTAACCTTTGGAAGTTGATAAATTTTAACCTGTTACCGGTAAGGGATTAAAGATGCAGACTTTTTGTGTACTTCAATATTTCCGCGGATAAAATCTTAAATGACTGGACTATATACCGAATACTCGTACAAACATATATTCAATATCATAATTACTATTGTAGTAATAGACTTCAAAAGCCGATCCTGATTCTTGTACAAGTTTCTCACTGCATTATCATTTTAATGCTGTTAGGTTTAACCAAAATGAGTGACAGGCCTTTTGCCATGACAAATATTTAGTTTCATTCATATAAGAAGTTACACTGTTACAGATATGAAAAATACTTTCTCTTTCGTTCCATGACAAGACTTTTTATGATATTAGAAAATTTTTTTTTTATGTATCTCATATTTAAGAAGTATAGTAATTAATTATATTCACGCAGAATTTGTTTTTGAATAATATGTAATAAATTGTCTGGCTAAAAATTTGTCTTTTTGTTTTTAATTTCCAGGTTGCCTTTTCGTGTACTCAAATATTGTACTTATCTTAATTTTTTAAATATGAATACTTCTCAGTGTCAACACGGTAGCCTTGTGTGTCGGCGTAAGCCTGACGCGCCATGGGTCGCGGGTTCAAGTCCCGGTCGGGACAAAGTCATTTATATGACTTTCTTGGGCTGCCGTGAGCGGAAGGATATCTTCGGAAAGCTGATTGTATCGACGCAGGTTTCCTGCAGTTTCCCTGTGTCCTTGTGTAAATGCGTTACAATGATTAGAGCTAAGTCGGCTGCAGACACAACCCGGCATACTATGTGTTAATAGTGTGTGTAAAGTTAGAAATCTTAAACCTAAACCAAAACTTACAATTAATCTCAAATCAAAATCCAAAACCAAATCTCAAAGTGCTCAAAATTCCTTCAAACTAATCCAAAATCTTAAAACTAAACTTGAGTAAGATGTTGCTGATAAAGAGGTGCTGACAGGGGATCTCCTGGAGCTTAAACAACAAATAAAATGATGGAGTTGAAGATTCCTCATTACAGGAATTCTTTAAACCATAATTATTCAGTAAATATTAATTTATTAAACCAAAATCGATCTTTCTGTAGAAATTTGGTAACAGACCAAGCATTTTTAAGCTGTAAATCACGTTAACAGTGCAACATAATTACCTACATCATCGGTGAGGCTGTCAAACAATAACATTCGCTGCTCATCATCGACTTTTCTCAACACAAAGTGCATTGTAAGAGATTTACAACTTCTCACACACTCGATCGGAACACCTTAAGTGCCTCAAGCACTTCGTATTCTACAAAACCCAGCATTGTGTGTGTAACACTACACACATACACTCTCAACAACACTCACACATTCTCACGGCATTCATCGCACAACAACTACGTGATTATACCTAAACAATGACTGTAATCAAGCTATTCTAGTAAATAATTGTGTATCATAAATAATGACTAAACTTTTGTTAATAACCAATTGCTATTGTTTCCCGGCAACCTTATCACCTCCATTCCATGAAATTAATTTTCCTTATATTTTAACAAATTTAATCTTTAATTATCAATAGTTTTCCTTTTATAGAATTTCTAACATATTCAAATCGTAACTTAACAAATTAAACCTTGAATACAACAAATTTTCCTCGACGATTGACGCTAAAACCTAAAGCAAAATCATCATCATTTTTTCAATTAACTATAACGTTCTGAACTGAACTTAATGCCTAAACTAAATCACGAGAGCAAACCAGGGGTGGGAAATCAATTATCTTACATTATTTTAAACTAAACTTGACCAAACTACCGAAAATCCCACAAAAAATACACTTACAGAAGCTGCAAAGGATACTTAGGTGTCATAATCTGGTTTCCACTCGTTCTTAGATGAACTAGAACCTCCTCTCTACATCATGAAACTCCCTGCAGTCTGTCATGTCTCTACCTTGTTCTATCTTCCTCTTTGACCCGCTCACTGTCTTCAACCTCTAACAATTTTCTTCATGACTCTGGTGTTTCTCAAAACTAGTCTAATCCTCACGCCTCTTAAAATTTGACTAACCGATCTAATCTCAAAAATCAGACTACTACTCACTGCATTGTCCAAAGTTCAACTTCTTATCTTTTTTTTCTATCCCCACTTAAATAACACATCAACTTTCTAATTTGCAGAATTGTTTCCCTATTAGTAGCTTCATCACGTGATCTCTCCTAGATTTCTTTGTGGAAAGGTGGCTTAATCTAGGTGCTTCTTTGGAGGCAAAGTTGATCAGGCCTTACAAGGCCTGCACACTTAAGCCTAATTTCTTCACAAAACTTCAAAATGCCCATTCCACACCTCCATTTCTTCTACTGGAGTATAAAGTTACTGGACCTGATCGAATGATTAACACTCGTAGGGTTAGAATGCTCCTGTCATGGATCATCACGGGTGGTATGTTTCGTTTGGCCCTCAACCCCACGTTAGCAATCCAAATCTACTTATAATAGTTCCCTAACTCTACACATGCTGGTTAGTTCTCCTCTACCAACTTCTTATCTCATTGAGTCTTTTGATGCTACCAAAATTAAATATAAGATCTTTCAACCTTACTAACTCTCTTGACAATAATATCTGAAATAAACACTAGCGATAAATTATTATAAACAAAAAGTATGCAAACTAATAAAATAATCTTTATGCAAACTTAAACAATGACCGTACCCATCAGTTAACTATCTCTTGAAAACTCAAAATTAATAAAGTAATACGTGAACAATAGTGCGTACTCGATTAGCCTCCTTCTTTCATTAGACAATCTATCATTGCATTCAGAGTTTCGCATAGTTTCCCCAATCAATCCAAGAATTGAAGATTGTCTATAAGTATTTTTTTACCTGCGCTGAGTGGAAATTTTTGGTTGCTAATCTTCAGTCATACGCATCTGTAGTGTTCTAAGTCTAAATTCAAAGCTCACTGTCTTTTCTTTTTAAGTTCTCTTCTACTAATTAGCATGTAAGTTGCTATATAGTAAATTATAGAGCTAGTGGATAAAACTATGCCCAATTATATGCAATCATACGTACTCAAGAATTATTATACATGATTTTTTTTCAAGATAGACTTGTAAGCCGCCTACACGTAATGATAAAGTTGTTATTCTCTCTATGGAGAAAGAAACATCTCTCTCTGACATAATTCTATAATTCACAAATTGCTTATAGTTTTAAAATAAATAACATCACGGATGATAACATCACTAATAATGTAGTAAGTGAAAGATGAATATCACATAAAACTGTGAAAAAGGATATTAGCTACATTAATGATTCAATTTACATCATTCATCAATAAATGGTAATTAACTACTGTTTTAATTTTCTTGTACATTTCTAATAACTATTAAAAATGCGACTTATCTATATAGCTAAGGTAATTGTAAGAGCTATCTAGATAGTTATTACGGCTGTCTGAAACATTACAGGAGACATGAGAATTTTTAGCACAGCTTTTCACTGCAGCTATACTTTGGATTGCTCTTATAGTAATGTGATTTTTTTTTTCAGTGCAGTTAAAGTCCTTAAAATAATTGTAATGTTGGTATTGATTGATTTATTCACACATAATTTAAGCAACTTATTTTATTGGAATAGAAATAATAATGTGATATAAAACAATTTATTATCTACTCAATGATTAATAATGCATTAATAACAAAGTATCATAGCTTTTTAAATTATTGATAAACTTTTCTATGATACTAACTCTGACTAATTAAATATGTATAATAAGTATGAAATTTCCAAAACACTGTCAATGAATTTTTATTTCATGAACAATTGTAAAATTTATCTATACTAACTGAAAATTACTACACATGTGTTAAGTTTTTTTCAATGCACACACTGGATAAATAGTTCAGATTTTCCTAAGAAACTTCAGTCTCTGCTAGATTTTTGTCGGGCTCGGTGCAAATTTTTGAGCTGTAGTCTACTTCATCTTTTAAACTTAAATTTGATTTTTGAGAGAATTTATTCTCAGCAACTCCAAAATTTTCCTTCAATTTATAGTTATTCAAGAGAAACAATTCTTTTAGAATTTTCTCCTTGAAGAAAATAATTCTTCTATCTACTCAAGTAAAGTTATTTTTAAACAAGTAAATTTATTTCTAAAAATCTCAACTCGACCAAAGAAATATTTTTTCTCAAAATAATAAAAAGAATTTTCCAACTCATCGGGAAAGATTTTGTAAAGAGAAATCTTTAAGCATTACATAAACGTGAGCGAATGAGCGAAGTCGAAGTCTACGAGCAAGAGAGAGAGAGAGAGAGAGAGAGAGAGAGAGAGAGGTGCGGCGCGGCGAGGAGACCCAAGCGGCTGTAAATCAATCAACCAGGGAGCCTAGCCGAGTATCTTCAGGCAGCACTACAGCCTGCTACGCGCCAACCTGCTGAACAGCGCTTTCTGCTATCTATCAATTTAACCCTTGTTAAACAATTTCTATTCAACTAAAGTGAGTAAAGAGTAATAAAGATTATCTGTAATAAAAGAGGAACAACTCTATTCTTCATTTGTTGCACCATAGTGGTTTGTCAGCACTGATTACCTTACCTATCTCTTTAATTTTCCATCTAAAATAAACTCTGCGAGGTCTTCGCACCCGAGTGGAGTAGAAGACGATTGTGTCGTGACTCAAAAAAGAGACTGTTCTGTTACTGGGACGTAACAGTGGGAAAGTAACAACATATGTCTTAGAAATTCTTTTCGTCCAAGAAATTCCACTCTCCACGCCACTAGAAGTAGTGGCAGCGATAGTCAAACTTCCTCACGAGATAACAATCTGCAATATTTACCTCCCAAACAGCAGGTCAATAAACATAGAAGGATTGCCAGGTCTTATCAAACAACTATCCAAACCATTCATTATTCTAGGCCACTTCAACTGGCATAGCCACCTGTGGGGCTCCTATAAACTTGACAACCGAGGAAATAAGGTAGAACAGTGGTTGATAGACAATGATCGAGTCCTACTTAATGATAGATCTTTAACAACATACAATATATCTTCCAATCTAGACAGTGCAATTGACGTGAGTATTGTAACTTCAAACGTAGCTCCATTCCTAGAATGGTCTGCTATTGAGGATTTTAACGACAGTAACCACTACCCAATTAGTATCCAAACCATTATTCGGCAAAGAAAAAATTGTAATTTTTCATTTTTTAATTATCACCTAATTATAAATGAAAATATTTAAAGTATAAAATGACAATATTTCATTAACAATTGAATATCAATATAAACAAATAAGTAGAATTGAAATTGAATATATTGTGTATATTGTTAATAACAATATTCATATTTATTTGTTTATACTAATATTCAATTGTTATTACACTAT